GGAAAAGAGAGAAAGTGTGGGACACCAGGTGCCAGCATTGCCTGTTGACATGCTGTGCTGTGTTGTGATGCCTGAGGCTGTCGCTGTGGAATCGGCTGTTGTGTGCACCAGATTGCCATGCTTCCTGTTGTGGTGTTGCAAAGAATGATTGAAGACATTGCTACCACCCATCAAACCTCGGAGGACCCAGGTATGTGAATGTTGCCATGCATGGCTTGCTGATGAGGGGGTACAATGGAACACTCTGTTGTGGATTATTGAATATAAATGGTGGCTGATAATACATGGCTTGCTGTGGCAGCCCAAATGGTGGCATAAATTGTTGTTGTTGCTGTGCAAGTTGGGCGGGTACTCCAAATGATATTTTGGTGGTAATACATATTGCTGTGTGGGGTGGAAAGCAGCAGTGGATTGATTCGAACATGCATCATGAGTTGTGTATCCAAATTGTGGTGAAACATGCTGTGCTGAAGCAGTGAGATATTGGAATTTCCATTGCTGGGATTGATGTTGAATATCCAATCACGAACATATGCATAGAATCTTTCTCTCCTACCAGCAACAGCATCAAAAAAATGTGTTCTCTGGTTAATGAAATCAGATATTACATTTTGACATGATGCATGCTGATACCCATGATCAAGAGCAAGCTGATGACATATGCAGCCATGGTATGGAATCCATCAAGACTGGAAAACTGCTCACTTTCGAGAGAAGACATGTTGCTATAGCAAGAGCCTTGCAGATCTTGTCTTGGCTATTTCAAGATGCTCTTTGGATTGGGAGTTGCCTATTGCCAGCTTTCTCTCTGCTTGTTTCTTCTAATCAACTTGACTTCTGGTTGTTCCTGCTGTTTTTGTTCTTCCTGTTGAGCACTGCTTGTGCTTCTTGTTGGTGATGGTGTTTTGTTATTATTGTTTGTTCTCTTCTTCTTCTCTTCTTAGTTGTTGTTGTTGGTTGTTGTTCTGTTGTCTTGTTCTTGTTGCTGTTGAGTGAGAATTTGGATGACAACGTAGTATACAATAGTTTAGTATTATGTAAAATGTGTTGCCAAGAACTCGGCAACATGATGGTATTTAAGGAAAGACTGTCAATGGACATTGTACCAAGGGTACCAAGTTTCAACCAACTTACTAAAAACAGTTAAATTTGATGGTACGAAGGGTACCAAGAGGTGGTACTAAGATTTTGTCAAACTTAGCACTAGGGGAGGTACAAGTTCAAAGGTAAAATTACATAAGGGTCAAATTTCATACTTATGATATGTCGAGCTCTTAAATATTGCCTCTGCTAAATAAACTAGGTACATTTGAGTACTTAAGCTAAGTAACTATTTGTAACTATTAGCAGAAAGATGCCAAGTGGCTTTGTCCTTGGGAGATTTTGGCTTGAGCTTGACAGTGGACAAGCAAACTTGGTCCTTGTACCAGTTTGCTTGGTACACCAATGAGGGCAGGAGATGTTAAGTGGTCTACAAGAGGAACAAGAGTATCACCCCTAAATCCACGAGAATGACCCTTCTTGGTCCATGGTACCAAGTTCAATTGGATTACGGGTTGTCTAATTGATGTAACTGTCACAAGTCCCAGTGAAATTACTTAGAAGTACTTAGTACCAACTTGGGGTATGGTTTAGGTAAGACCCAACAGCTTCAGGCTGGGACAACAGCTTCAGGCTGGGACCACAGCTTCAGGCTGGGACAACAGCTTCAGGCTGGGACCACAAGTTCAGGCTGGGACCACAGCTTCAGGCTGGGACCACAGCTTCAGAGTGGGACAACAGCTTCAGCCGATTCTTCACCACATGATTAATTCCATCAGGCAGTTCCTGTATCTCTGCATATGTAGCCCTTATCTGAGCTTATTGTTGTCATCCATGCATCCCCTCCATTTTCATCAGCGAAAGTGGCTTCTTGTTGACACAGACTATGGTCTCAGTTCCAACCACTTTGACTTCGTTTTCACCGATCCTGACACAGTCCCCGTAACTACAAGCCACAGTTTCCATCACCAGTCCTCGGTTACTCATCCTGTGCCTAGTAGCCTTCTCTGATCCCTGCTATGCTTCTGAGAACATCACTTTGACGAGTGTAATCTCTGACGGAGCGTAGCATGTGCTCGTGATTTTGCTTGGTGATTGCAAAAAAACAAAAAACAATTTGCTGCTGGTGCGTGTGAAGATCCAGGATCCATGCCAGCAGGATCCAGTGCCAGGTGGCCTCAGGCCGAACCTTCCTGCCCTAATCTAAATTTGGGCAGGAAGGTTCGGCCCGAGGCCAGACGCTGGATCTTTGCACGCACCGCTGGCCATCACGAGTGCTTTACTGGCCATCACAAGTGCTTTACTGGCAATGCTTCAGCTGGCTCGAGTTTCCCGCCCATAGAAGGCTGGTGTTGTCATTGTGGTTGTCATTGTCATTGGTGGTAGACAAGCTGGAGCATAAAATAGAACCGAATCAGTCCACAATACCAGCCAGCTATTCCAATACCATTCCCAGTGAATTTATTACGAGCCGAGACCAGCAATAATGGCATCCAAGAAGAACAAGAAGGTCCGCCCGAAGCATCAACACCAACACCAACACCAACACCAACACCAACACCAACACCATCTCCTAAAGCGTCGGCACCGTTAAAATTCCCAGCAGGAAAAAGCACCAAGGAATGAAGTACCGCCTGTCATGCTCCGTGATCATGACAACCAGGCTGGGAATCGTACCAATGGTGTTTTGAACAAAGCAGTGTGAAAAGACGCTCCGAGCCTGTAGCTTTCGTCTCAGCCTGTAGCTGTTGTCCCAGCCTGAAGCTGTGGTCCCAGCGTGAAGCTGTGGTCCCAGCGTGAAGCTGTGGTCCCAGCGTGAAGCTTTCGTCACAGCATGGAGCTGTGGTCACAGCCTGGAGCTATGGTCACAGCAGCGCGAAGCGTTCGTCCCAGTCTGAAGATGTAGCTTTCGTCCCAGCCTGTAGCTATTGTCTCAGTCTGAAGGTGTAGTCCCAGCCTGAAGGTGTGGTCCCAGCCTGAAGCTGTGGTGCTGTTGTCCCAGCCTGTAGCTTTCGTCCCAGCCTGAAGATGTTGTCCCAGCATAGAGCTGTTGTTCCGGCCTGAACCTGTGGTCCCAGCCTGAACCTGTTGTCCCAGCCTGGATCCGTTGTCCCAGCCTGGATCTGTTGTCCCAGCCTGGATCTGTTGTCCCAGCCTAGATCCGTTGTCCCAGCCTGGAGCTGTGGTCCCAGCTTGAAGTTTTTGCTTGGTTGCAGCTTACAGCTTTTATCCCAGCGTCAAGTTTAATTTTTTTGCTAGGAGCTTGTGTCTGGAATTTCACAACTAGCTATCTATCGGTACTATGCTAAGCTAGCTAGTCGTCCTCAAGTCGGCTTCTCTGAATGCGTTAATAGACTTTGTGCTTTTAAAAGTACTGAGCTAGCTAGTCCATACCAGGAGAGATCCGTACCTGTATCATGGTGGTCTACTAGTACTAGCTAGCTAGCTACTATTATACGTACGGTATGGCCAGCCAGTACCAGGAGCTACATTCTGGGTGATTTCACGGCAATAACAACACAAAATGTCTTGCAGAATACTCCTTACTGGGGTAGCTTTTTTAAGAACCTGGTGTAAACTCACCTAGTGCAAAGCACATTAAGGCATGTATACTTCAAACCATACCCACCAGTGATGGTTTAAAGTAAGCAGCAGTACTCCTTTTTTCTAAATCCTCACTATTTACTAGTGCATGCTTTAACCCACCGAATGCACTTCAAGAAGGCCTTCTAATTGCAGAATCAGCTTTTGTACTCTTTGCTCCTATTCAAAAGAGCCAAAGTAAATTGCACGAGCCACCCCCAGACCCCCTTCTATGTTTAAATCGTGAGGTGACCTCACGAATGTGCTCTGAGTACCCATGCGATGCCTAATTTGAGAGAATCCACGACTGGGAGGACGCCAACAAAGAAAATAATGAGAAAGACCACCAACGACCAACAAGCAACTCCAAACATACATTCCGACTCTCCAAAACTCGATCGTCTCTACCAGTTGTGATAGAAATAAGCTAAGCGACCATGCCATCGATGGTAGCTGCATTGGCGGCCGCCGCCGCTTCGTCTCGATTGTCCCCGTTGGCTGCAATCACAGTGACGGATCTTTTGAAGGAAAACGACAAGACACTCTGGAAATTAAAGCTCTACAAAGATCCGGCCTCCCATTTCGAAGATTTTGATTCCTTTTGCCGGGCTCTCTCTGAGAACACAACCGTCACATCTCTGGAAGTTACTTGGAGATTTCTTCGCCATCTAACCCAAACCCAGCGCATCACCTTGATGGAAGCCATTGGAGGCTTGGCGAACTTGGAAGAAATCGCCATAGAAGTTGTGGGCCCGACCTTTGTGCTGACAGCGGCTTTGCGCAAGGCATCCAAACTGAAGAGCTTGCGAATTGGGAAGCTACGGTTTTTAACCAACCAAGATGTGCAAGGATTGGCCGCTGCCCTCCTCTGTTGCAAGAATCTCCAACAGCTTAGTTTGTCGTCTGTGCAAATTATGGTGCAAGGCAACCACATCATGGATGCAGCAGGCATTGTCTTGTTCCAGGAAAATCAGCAAGAAGGAAGGGAAAAGATTGGTTTGGATCCTTTGTTAGATGCAATGGCATCCCTTCCCGTGCTGGAACATATCCGTCTGCAGCACTACCTTAGTGGTAGCAAGATTCAACCTCCCACTGAGCGCTCCTTACGATCGCTTTGCCACTCTCCACGGCGGTCTCTCATCTTTGGTTCCTGTGGCTTGTCCGATGAGCAGTGCGTGACAATTGCAGACGAGCTCAAAACCAACCGTGCCTCGTCCGACTTGTCGATTCTAGTGGTGACCAGAAACTATAAGATCACGTCGTTTGGCTGGGACGTCTTTGTTCAGATGCTGGCCAAGAACGAAACGTTGTTGGACTTCCACCCCGGCGAAGAAGGACAGCGAAATGCCCCATCGACAGAACAGAAGGCTAAAATCAACTATTATCTGAAGCTGAACCAGGCCGGACGAGGAAAGCTGCGTGGATCCATGACGGAAAGGCGCAAGGCATGGTTCGACTTGTTGGTGCAAGGATCGAAGTTGAAGGACCTTGATATCGTCTTCTTTGCCATGCAGGTGGATCCTTCCCTCTACATCATCGATTAAAGTGTCATGAACTGCTTTTATAGAGACCAGAGACAACCAGCCTCAACAATGATTGGAATGTGTCGAGCAGTACATGCCCCATGTTTGATGTCTCTCAACCTTCAAAAAGAGCGGATGTGGATCCATAGACGCACAAAGTAATATTGCAACGGGCGGATAGCCTACACCTTCAACACATATCCAACTAATCATAAATGTAAAACTATAACAACCGATGGCTTCCGCAGGCGAACAATTTGAACTCCACTCATGTATCCTTACCAACAACCTCTCGATACAGTTCCATCTACCACATCAACCCGAACTATACGCTCTAGCCGTCCAACTTGCACGATCGCCTGCTCTTGTGCACTAATTATTCATGTCCTGATCTCCGTCCACCGTATCTTCCTCTTCGCCCTCTTCTACCGCTGTCATACTGTTCCTCCGGCTGCCATCCCCGTCCATATCGTGATAGTTGGCATTCATACTGCTAAGATCGATCGACTGACGTCGACGTTTGTCAAAGACGTATTCCTCCTGTTGAACATTCAAGTCCATTTCCTCCTCCTCTTCGTCATCATCAAAGTCATCCCACTCTTCGTCCGAGTCATCTGGTTGTGCCGCTTCTCGGACCAATCCCAACTTGATGCGTTTTTGCATTTCTGACTCGCTCAAATTAATCACGCTGACGGAATCACGTCGGTGCACGTACTGATTCTTGTACGCCGGTGATCGGTTGATGACCTGCAACTTATCATTGTCAACCAACATACAGCCTGCCATGGCATTGGATCCTTGGTTGTGATCCTGACTGGTCGAGAATACAGTAAAGACACGGGCTCCCTTACTGAGGGCAACACCCTCTGCATGAGCTTCATGAGCTCGCATGATATAGGAGAATCCCTGTTGCTTCAGAAAGTTGGTGACGGCCTTGTTTCCAAAACAAATAGCTCCACCACCGCGAAGAGACTCTCCGAATCCAGTTTCCGGGTCAACACTGGTCATTTCTTGTTCCTCCGAGGCGGGATCACTCCAGATGCAGTCGCTAGCAACTTGTTGATATTGATCATCTTCGTGTTCGTAGGGGGGGTTGATTCCGGCGACGCGTGGGACGCTCAGCATGTCCTGAATGCGGGTGGTATTGGTGATGGGTCGTGGGATTCCCCCATGAACACAAAATACGTCCTGATCAATGACGCCCGCCAAAGGTAATCGATCAAAGATTTGATTGCAGGCTTCCCACACCCTGTAGCCTACGTCGTCTCCGAATCGGTTGCGACATTGGAAAATAAAGCTTCGTTCTCCGTAGTGCTCCTCCCATCCATTGACATCTCGGGTTTCGTGATTACCACGCAGCAAGAATACCTTGTTGGGGAGTTGGTACTTCATGACAAAGAGATAGGCGACACATTCCAAACAGGACTTTCCACGATCAACATAGTCACCCAAGAAGACGAAATTCCCGGCAGTGAGGGACATTCCCAGTCTCCAGAGATTGTCGGAGAAAAAGTGCAAATCTTCTAGATTCCCGTGAATATCACCAAAGACATAGGCAGGACTCTGAACGAATGCCACTCGCGGCTCTCGTTCAAAAATGTGTCGAACCTTTTGACAGAGCTTGAAGACGTCCTTGGCGAATTGGATCGAGTTGAGGTAGTCCACATGTGCGGCTGGTTGTTGGAACATGTCCAGAATCCGCTGGACAAATCCCGGTTGATTCAAAATGGCATCATCGGGGATCAAGTCCAATGCCTGTTGCGTGCAGATACTGGCATTCCGACCCATGCGCTCACGGGAACTTACCAAGACCGATTTGCCCTTGACTTGGACTTCCCGGACGGCAGTGGCGTGAGCTTGTGCCTGCAAACGGCGTTTTTGAGGTCCACGGTCGGCGTTGGCCGTCAGGACGGTTTCTAGTTGGGACGACAGCGATGCTACTTTTTCTTGCAGCGCTGCGATTTCCAGCTCCTTATCTTCACCGCTCATGGTTGCTTGTGTTGTGTGACCCGAGTGGGGTGATCAGAGGATGGTTATCTTGCCCCAAACAGCAATTAAGGGTAGTCTGATGCTGACTTTCTGATGATCGTCTTCAGGATAATGACTAACGCTCTAAGGGTTGATCAAGAGGTTGGGTGTCGGGCAGGATGTGAGCAAAGGCTCCAGATGGAACACTGGTTCGGTCACTGGATGGGTATACTGTGTGACAGTTGACGGAAGACAACCCGAATTGAATTCGCTTCTGCGATGATGGACGATTCCTTTGATATCTCGATTAGCTGATAAGCAATGCCTTCCTTGCTGCTGCCTCCTTGGTCAAGGTTACGATCCTCCTTGCTTGTCGGCTTTGGACTTGATCTTACAACTATCTATTAGCCAGTGCCGTGCTCCCTTGAAGCTCCCTTGTGGCTCTGGTGTGGGATGGCTGCACAGCCTTTGTTCTTTATCGCAGGCCACAGTCCCCTTTTCAAATGGGGGCAAACGCACCACAACGACACAATTCAGGGCGAAATGAGGGGGGCAGCTGGAACGGGATCGGAGAATGGCACTTGGGTCATTGTTTCTTTTGGATTCGACGCAGCTCCGCTCAAAAGGGATGGTGTTACTAGTAATTAATTGGCAGTGCCTTTGGTATCATCTATCTGCATGATGCATTGCCAAGTCTTCTCGCTAGCTAGAGGAGGATGGGTTCATGAAGAGGTTGCGAGAATGGGTAGCAAGCAAAGTCGCACCTATACTGGGTATCTTTGGCCTTGGTCTTGGGTCCGGCGTTTCAGACCGGCCTTGCTGGACTGGCTCTACGAGTACTACTGGCTGTAGTTGCCTGGATGACATGGAAACAAGTGCATGCTGTAGAATGTAGAAAACCTACCTAAGAAAAGCAACATCAATAGTTGTATTGAGCTATGAAAGGGTCCTGGATACATTGAAAAGAGGTAAATTCTCCAGTGTTCACGTGCAGGTGACTAGTCTAGTAACGACATCCGCTCAGCTTCAAAGTGTGTGCTGCAACAGCGCAGAGGATGCAGCAAATGCACGGCAGAGACTGTGCTGTCATCAAGCCAGGTTTTGCCCAGTTCCTTTGTGCAGTTGAATCCTGCACCACATGCATAAACACCGATAAGAAATAGAACGGAACCTCAAACTAGACTATGAGTCAACGAACACCACGACGATGTTCAAAGACGAAGACAGAATATCAGAATCATATGCAAGTTCCATTAGACTAATATCATATTGGTTATCATGTCCATATGAAGGGTGAAGAGGGATATCTGACTGGTCGATTGAATCATACTCAATGTCTAATCTGCCTCGGTCCTGTCCATTAGTAATGAACACATTGTCGTTGACTCAAAAGCCCAAAATGTACCTCGTCTCAGAGGACTCTCCTCCTACGCATCATTGATACCTCAAAGTTCTGTCTAAAGTTTGGATCTCGCGGTCTACGTCCTTGCGGGCTTATCGAAACCATTGTCCATATCTCGTTATCATTGATACCGGTACCTCAAAGTTCTGTCGAACTTTTTGTTCTCAAGATCAAAGTCCTTGCATTCTTCAAAACCACGGTCCATATCTCGTTTGCTCACTTTCTACAACTCTTCAAGACATCCTTGCCCTGTCTGAATCCCTCTGTGTCTTTCATCTCCTCAAATGCCCCTTTTCCTGATTGAAGAGCAATGGGTAACAAGGCCGTCAGAATGAGTGTTGTGATCGCAGCCATTTTCCACTGGCCATTGTCATTGTTCTCGACTGCCTTGAGGCTGACCGCGCTGCGGGTAGTGGAGGTGCCACAAAGGCGCTGCCGGTCGAGGACAACAAGGCCATCATTCTGCCTTTATGTGCCCAATGTCATGAATTGATTTTGGTCATGTGATGACATCATTGTTCGTTTGTTGGATCTTTTGGGCAACTGACTGAGTCACTCAATAGTTGAGTCCAGTCACGCGTATCCTCTTATGTCTTTCACTGTTCTCTGGAACGTTGCTATTTATTCATTCTGAGTCAACTTTAAGTCTTTCTGAATGACGGAGACTGACGTGTCTTGGTTCGGAAGCATGTTCTGATGTTTGGTACCTTGCTTGTCCTTCCTCAAAGTTTGTTTCTTTGATCTTCACGCTGTAACGAACATACCCTCGATGCATTCATCCTGATCATGAAGACTTTGTTTCTTGCCGTCGCCCTTGTGCTTGTGCAGCAGCCCCTTCCTGCTGCAGCCTTCACTGCACCTGCAGGAGTAGCGCCTTCCTCCTCCTTTCCATGCCTCCCCATGCACGTCGATGGTTGGAATGACTGGATGCTGGATGATGGTGCGCAGGCCCATGACTTTGATCGCATGCCCTATCCAAGACGACAACAGGAACTCTACTTGAGGAAAGAAATCCAACCTCACTATGAATTTGACTACGAAAATTCTATGGACAAGCAAGAAGATCTCTGGTTGCAGCAGCAAGCGCATGAAAACTTCGTCGACAACCCATACGGAAGTAGTGGATACGGACAGTACCACCGCGACAGAGCGGGATTTGACGAGTACGACCGAGAGAACCTCCAACGCGAGATAATGCCTAGACGACAACCTCGGGGAATGGACAAACAAGGCGAAGTCGCGCGAAAACAGTACGCCAATGATGCCTTCATATCCAACCCATACGGGAACCGACGCGGTCCTTCTTGGTGAACGGAGTGATACTCTAGTGGCACTTGGGATGAAGCCGTGAATTCAACCCTATCATTCATTTCTGCATGCTTGCATTCTTTTGTGCGTACCGGTATTTGAAAACAAAACAAAAACCAGAGCAAATGACGGAGCAAAGTCAGAGCAAGAAACAACGTCAACTTGGCAATCAGTACATGTACACGCACGGTTTTCATCTTCAATCAATAGGAACGAGGCAAACCCCTTGGTGGAATGAATCGTTCATTGGTATTATTCCTGTTATTACTTCTTGTTCTTATAGACCAAGATTACTGAAAAGTACCGCGATAATGCGTCCGAGTTGTTGTTCGATGGCCCGACGCTTTGTTGGGAAGGAGCTCCATGCCAAAATCCAAAGGTGAATTGCATCTGGCTGGCTAGCTAGCTAGAAGGGCACCTGGAAATCCAGATGTGTAATGCTTGCCCTTGGCGGTTGCTGGAGCTAGTTGTGTGTGTGTGGAATGCGCCAAATAAATATGCCCGTACGGGTTGGAATGTCCAAAACCTCACCATAGTGGTGCAATGAAGTGGGCTAACGAGACTGTCACATGACAAACAAACGGTCAACAGAGACCCTGCATCATGCTCCTGAAAGTGGTCTTGGGCGAGTTCTAGCTAGAGACGTTTCATTTCCAAAGCTAGACAGTACTACGGATTTATTGGGTTTCCTGATTGCTCTGATTCATTTTCTGCTGCGGCATCAAACAAAGAATAGACCGGGAGAGCACAGCAAAGCATAGAACACCATGTCCAAATCGTCAATCTCACGAATCATGAAATCGAGCCAAGCCACTTTGGAAGGATTAGTCAAAAGACCCTTTCGTCCCTTTTCATTCAGCTTGAGTAGGAGGTCCATTTTGCCGCGTGTTTCGGGACTGGGCGGGGTGCACTCGGATGGCTCCATGAGAGCCGCATTCCGCGACGCCACATACGAACCAAATCTGCCTGCCAGCACGTGGTTGTATTGTTCCTCGGGTTGGCTAGGACCCGTTGTGGTGGGTGTGTACATGCCCGTAAGGCTGTAGTTTGTTTCCAGCATTGCCACCAGTATTTTCCAACCAAACTCCGAGATACGATTGTTACGGGTCAGGTTTAGCACTTCAACGTTGCCAGTGCTGCCAATCTTTTGGAATTCCTCTGCCAATACTGCCACATCGTCATCGTCTAAATCACAGCATCGGAGCATCAAAAAGGTTAGGCCTGAGCTTCGGCACATGCGTTGAAGCGTGGGCTTGGCAATCCGTTCCATCGTTGCCGCGTCTAATTTGAGATCCAATTGAATCTTTTGCATTCCTGGTATTTCCGCAATGGACATCAATAGTGGGTTCAAATCCAACTTGTTCAGTTTCTTTTGATCGGCTTGATTTTTCTGAAACCAAACCATACCCTGTTCATCCACTCGGTAAGTGCCTTGGACTTGGAGACGGATGTTGTTTAGGGTGATTTGTTGCAATGACACGTTGCGGCTCAATGCCGCAGCCAACTGGGTGACTTCGGCATTGGATGACAACCGCAAGGAATTAATCCACAAAACCTTGAGATTTTGGGTATTTTGCAGGGCCGCTACGAGCGCATTGCATGGACCAATCGCTTCCATCATGAACTTTTCTAAGGATAATAGAGCCCCCAGGGCCCCCATCAGAAGCACTCGCTCCGTGGCTGAAAGGGCACTCAGAAACCTCCATGATAACTGTACGCTCGTCACTGTCTTGTTTTTCTCCAGAGCCAATAGGAACCCCGACAATTCTTCGTCACCGAAATGGGTGGCCGGTTTTCGCACAAGCTTCAGATAAGTCAAAGTGGGGTCGTTGTTGGACAGCCTGTACACGAGGGAGTTGGTGCGAGGAGCAACGAGAAGAGACCTTGCTGCCGCTTCCAAGGCGATCCGGTTTGCCATAACTTGAGCCATTGCACCGTTTTCCGCTGGCGTGTCCTTGTTTGATCGTCCTGGGTTTGTTGTGAGAAAAGAAGTTGAGGCGGTGCACTTCGTCCTCTCTCAGTCAGCAGTCGTTGATCAATTCAAGTTTTTGGTCGCACCCCGACCCAGTCGTTCATGGTCCGATCTTTATGTGGGTAGATGGGGTTAAACATGGCCAGAATATTGATCACTCAAAATTGGGTTTACCTCATCTTTCTGATTCTTCCTGGGTGCCAGAGGCCAAAAACTACATCGTACACGTGTACCGGTACATGAAAATGACATGCAAATCGGATACCGTATATATCTATCTGTTAAAGGTGGTGCGTGGTGCGATCCCCACCAAACGGGGCTTCATCAGAGGCATCTGTTGCTAGAATGGCGGTTGAAGGTGGCTGGAGACGGTGAAGAGCGTTTTAAAAGGGAAAAGCAGGTGGTAAACCTCTCGTGGGCAGTAGAAAGCAACAGTTACTGAAAGTCGTTGAAACCTGGTCTACCTAGGATGTGCTGCACAGTTACTGTTGCTGGCGGAAGAAGATTAGAGCATTGAATCCAGGAAGGTGTGGATAAGACAATCATAGTAATGGTGAGTTGGTTTGAGGCACTCCCCTGAACTGAGGCTGGTCTACAATCAAGCTATAGAAAAGCCTTGATCGGCTTGGCCACCTACGAGCTAGCAAGGCGGAATTCCTATTCGTTACACTAGAGTCGTACTGCGAGAAGCAACCATCAATTGCAAAATTTAGTCCATGAGTTTGACAAATAAGCTGTGAATGAAGCATTCTAACCAGCAGATTGCAACCAGCAAGTCTCCTGCTCGATATCCTTGCCCAATTTGAAACAACGAACGGGCATAGCTCAAAATTGCCAATGTCATCAAGAGGGCCCGTGCAAAGTCCAGAAAGGATGGTGGTACAACTCGCTTTTCATCAGTGGCACTGCTCTCCGGTCTCTTTTGCACCACGTGCATCCAGCCAAGCCGCATGACGATTGGAAGCAATAGTTTGGTGGTCAAGTCACCAAGACCAGTATCGGGTAGATACTCTTCTGGAATGTCCGTAGGCACAATTCCCTCATTGCCGATTGTCGCAATCAAGGCCATGAACTTCCCAGCCACCAAGCACGGGCATGCCAAGAAGAAGGTTGCTGCAAAGGCAACCAGACGCGCATCATCACGCAATACAAATGTGGGTGGATTGGTGCGACGTGACGATGCCGCAAAGGCGACGGCGGAAGCCATGGTTGCAAAGTATACGGCAAACAGGAGCCCGATAGAAAGTCGGGTCTTCCATGCAAACAGTTTTCCCACACACTGCAAGCCAAAGAGCAGAAAGAAAATGCCCAGTGCGAACCATCGTATGCGGGAGGCTGTCTTGCTCAAAGGTGTGGCCGTCCGGGGCAGGCGTGCAAGTGCAACAGCCAAGATCCATTGTAGACCCCACAGGACCGTGTTGGCCACCAACGTCAAGACGACAAGGGACAGCCAATGTAGTTGATAGTTTGTCCTGGCAGCTAGGCAGATTGTCGCCAACAAGGGTACTACCTGCATTCTCCATTGAATGGTGGGGTTTGGATGACCCAGATACAAGCAGCCAATGCCTGCACATTGGAAACAACCCAGAACCACAAATAGCCCAACCAGCACCTCCAAATGATAGAGCATGGCCGATTCCATGGCAATGGTGGCTCCGTATCCATAATGTTGCTGGCAGGGGCGGAGAAAAAGTAATAGTGTAAGAAACCTCAATGTGTTGCAACGATCCATCGCGTCCTTGATTTTTTACCATAAATACCGATTGATGCTCTTCTAGACTCTCTTGGAACGAGTAGCCCTCTTTATCATTTGTCGTCGTTTGCAATCCCAAATACTCTTGGACCGCGGCAATGCGTTCCTGTGGCTCCTTATTGTCACGTTGTTGCACGAGTGTGTAAAAGACTTCTCGCACAACCGACAAGAGATTGTGGCACCACACAATGGCTCTATGATCCATTCCCAATGTTGGTGGTTGGACCTTGTCGGTGGCCGGTTTCATGACTTGTGTGGCAAGAATCGATAGCGCATTGGTTGTTGCTCTACATGCCACGGGTGGGATCATTTCATCCCGTAATCCTCCGGAAATGGCGACCAATGCTGCCTGGTAGTTGTCATTATTACTATTTTCCAAGTATGTTTGGTGCAGCTGGTGAATGGATGATTCCCAGCCAAAGACAGGATGAGCATGAGGAGACCCAAGCGTCACAATATTGGCAATGTAAGGTCGAATGTTGGGATACAGAATGGGTGCCAGCCGCGACACGTAGCCACCAATGGAATGCCCCAAGACGATCACTTGTGATAATTGGCAGGTATCCTATGATTGGAGGGGGCAATGGCAGAATGCAATGGGCAAGATTGAGTTGGCCTGAACAACATAAAAAGAAAATGAAAAACAACAACACAGCACAAACAATTACTTGTCGTCTCACTTACCACAATGTGTTGAATAGCCTTGGCCACAAAGGCGGTTTGTGCCCATAGAAATTGTGCATGCAAGGCGGCTCCTTCTTCGGAAAAATCCATGGCGTAGACATCAAAAACAAATTGGGACGAATCGGTGGCATCCGTTCCCTTCCACGTATTTTGTGTCAATGCCTGTAAGACGCGGGATTGTTGCGCCATACTGCGAGCACCAGTGAGTTGAATGCCATGAGCTCCAATGGATCTGGATTGCATGTAGCTGCCCCAATGGCCTGGAATATACAAGACTGCTACAGTGGTGTCCGTGTCATTGCGTCCATTGTAGAGGTTTTTGGGAGTACAGTGATGGGCATTGTTGTGTTGTAAAAATTCCTGATTGTCTTGTTGATAGAGCTTGGTCGCACGATACTCCAAATCGTCTTCTCCCGTGACCCGAATGGTCTTGAGCCATCGTTGCATCATGGCCCGGTGATGGGACCGTGGATCTCGTTGATCAATGAATTTATAGAGACCGTACTTCTGAGTGTGGTTGTTGGTTGGGAGTTCCATGTGAATGGGGATGAGTTGTCGTTGCGAATACGTCATGTCGCACTCTACACTGGTGTGCAGCTCTTGTCGTAGAATCCAACCCCACACAAATATTCCCACAGCAATCACATGACACAGTAGCAACAGCCAGTGTAATACAACGCTACTGGGTCGCATTATTATTGGAGGTTGTGATGATGACACCTTCTTGTTGGCGTCGGCAGTCTCATCACCACCACCACCATCATCACGTTCATCGTTCTTGTTGACTGTCTTTGCGTCTTCACCAGAAAGCCGCCGTCTCCGCAAGTTGCTGGTCGTCATGGTGGCTGCACTGAGCGTCGTTGAAAACCGAAATCTTTTGGATTTTGGGTGACAATTGATGTGGATTTTGTCACCAATGTCTTTGTTTATGTCATGGTTTCCTTTCGCACACCCATTGTGTGCTGGCTGAGGTAAGACAAAAATGCCAGTCACCCGCGTGTGCGATGGGTTTCCTATTCGGAGTTAGTTATCGAGCTTGCTGGCATTCTTGAAGAACTTGCAAGAATTCATTTAACTTACTGTACAGTACTCCACAGGGGTAGCAATAGAATGTCAGTCGCTCATATTGGAATGTATAGTCTACTTCTCGATCTTAGTACCTGGTACTGTAGTAGAAGTCATCTCTGTATGTCTGGATCCCAGCAGGATGTTGGCACCCGTTGCCAAATTGTAATTCTATCAAGATGGTGCTTCTTGCACCTCTTCTGTGCCTTTTCAGCGATAGCTACCATCAAAAGGCAAGCTGTGAATCACATTCCTCTGCAAATTTGGGTTCACTTCTCTCAAGCACAGCTCCCGAACACTTCCCCCGAACACTTTTAGTGTTGTATTAGTATTACTTCTGAATAATCAGTGGACAGTCTTTTAGTATTTTGCAGAGAATTTTCGTTGACGATTTTTGTACCTGCGCACCGCACCGCACCGCTCCGTACTGTATCGTACCTTACTGCAAAATTAAAAAAGCTTCAGAGATCCAGCATTCAAGGAATGCCATCTAAAAAATGACTGTTCAGTCTTGGATCCAAGCGATCTTTGGCGCCAATTTGAGACCTTCACGTCCAAAGAAAGTGGTATCTTCGCCTTCATGTGTGCTCTATTGCCACAATCGTCGTCAACAATCCACAGATAGCAAGGCCTCTAGCTAGATACCCGAACCAATAACAACAACAACAACAAACAAACAAACAAACAAACAAACAAACAAACAAACAAACAAACAAACAATGAGCCCCTTATCTCGCTCACTCTTCCTCGGCATCTGCTTGCTCTTGACAGTCTTTCCTACTTCTGTCGTCGCGCGAAAGAAGCGCCACATGGGTATCCAAAACACCGACATGACGGAGCAATGGTTCCTGGCCCAAGAACAATTCAAGGCGGTCTCGGCCATGAAAAAACACCATCGCGATCTTCAATTTGTCATTGACTACACTCCTGGCGCCGATCCCAATTTTGTCTGCGCATCGTTTTTAGCGGCCACCAACAGCAGTTACCAGTGTTCCTGTGATATTGCCGATGACAAGTCCGTCAGCATGAGTTGTTTGGAGTTGGAACAACGCTGCAATAAAGGTGGCAGTATTTGCTTTCTCCAAACCATTACACTCGCATTGACCCGCAACGACGAAACGCCCGGAAATGCCATTAAATCGATCGAATCTTGTACGGATTACATTACCAATTTGGACAATTTCACCGGACCCCTCGTTGCCACCCAGTTTGCCAATTATTCCACCATTACCCCGTGCGTCAAGATTATTCCCAATGCTCCCAATGATTTCTCCTCGTTGCAGTCGTGCTCGGCTACCGTCAATGGAGCCGACTGTTACAAGTGCGAAATTTGTAATGACAAGGCACCGGCGTTGGCCATTTCACTCGATTGCTGTAATACCAATCCCAACGGAGAACCGCTCAAGGTGGACTGTGGTTTGGTCGGAGGAGGAGGTGTCTTTGCGCCATTTTTTGAAACCTATAACGAAGATTACGAACAGTGTGCCGGAGGAATCAGTACCATGGGTAGTAAGAGTGTGTGGTTCCTGGTGCTGGCCGTCGGGGCGTTCTTGTCGGCTCTGTTCTAGCTGGTGGTAGAATTACAACAAACAACAATCCTTCCTTTTCAAATACTTGAATGGCGTGTAAGTGTTAAAAAACAAAGATTCTGTATTACATTATTGTTTGGTTTGGTTGGCGTTTGGTTGTTTCTATTCGTATCCGTTTTCGAGGGCATCCATTGATCCCCTGATTTCACCAATGTAACAACGGCAGCCAAGTGCAGACTAGTATTTATTTCGATTCTGCTTGATTCGTTGAAGCGCTGCGGAGAAGGGCTATCGCCCGATATCCTGTCGCTTCGTTCATTCGGAGCCACCTGATCGACGGCGCATTGGCATTGCATCCCAAGCAAGTCAATCATCAGTGTCGGTCGGTAGGACGCAATGAAGCGTCCGCCACTCTACCGGTTCCGGTAGCTGGTGCCGTCGTCCTTGTCTCTACTATCAACCATTCTATATATTTTTGGAAAGCGTAAGGACGAGCGAGACCCCAAACCTTCAGATCAAGCATACCGCATGCAGTCGAACTCAAGCAACCGTATAGAACAAAGATGTCTAGTGTGCAATGTTAAAGACCTGATCCGGATAGTTAGTGTGATCTAATCCTTGCATGGAATGGGCTTGATAAGGATGTATGAATCAGCCCACCGGGATCCAAGAGTGAAGACGCAAGGCATCCGGTCAAACCAAAGGGAGCATTGCACTCGAAAATGAGAAACGCATCCGAGAACAGAATCCTGATGTCAAACTTTGGTAGAGTCGTCAGTTTGTCAGTCTGTTGTGTACAAGTAGATGTCAATCCAAGATCATGCTATGATCAACCCTTGGCCATGAGCAATCCTTCTTGCCGGTACTGCAGTGTAGCGTAGACTGTTTGTAGCGCAACAGGTACATGTACCGTATCTTCACTCGTATCACTGCAATGCGCGTGAGCGATCATTCCGCACACTGCACACCATGCAGCCAGTTGCTCCTTGAATGTGTAACGGGGAAATTCTGAGAGCCTTCAGTTTGCAACGATACGGGTGCGGCGTAGATCATGACAAGTTTTGCGATACCGGTAGGTGCGAAAATGCACTGCGCACGAACTTCGTTTTATGATGCATGCACTCTATTGTTACGGAAGTAATAAAATCTAGTTGGTTATGGTTACACAGCTATGGTATGCTCCTGCCCATCGTTGATTCGAGTAATAGACTAGACTCTGGACTGGACGCGTGTTCGTGCACACGGCGAGTCTCGAAGGGTTCATGCATGGAAATCGGACAAAAATGATGCGGGACGCAGGGATTGAGAATCGGCTTTGTTGGTGTGGGTGGTGATAAAAATCACCTGTTTGTTTTTTGTTTATATTGTTGCGTGTTTACGATCGCTCTCCACGGATGCGGCGAGCCAACTGAATGTCCTTGGGCATAATGGTAACACGCTTGGCGTGGATGGCGCAAAGATTGGTATCTTCAAACAATCCGACCAAGTAGGCCTCGGCGGCTTCCTGTGATCGAAAAAAGCAAGCGGCAAGTGAGCAACAGCGGCGTCCACGACAACTGAGCCATGGACAAAAACAACGACATGCGTACCTGGAGAGCTAGGACGGCACTTCCTTGGAAGCGCAGATCAGACTTGAAATCCTGAGCGATCTCACGGACAAGACGCTGGAAGGGAAGCTTTCGGATCAGCAAGTCAGTACTCTTCTGGTAGCGACGGATCTCACGGAGAGCAACAGTACCAGGGCGGTATCGGTGGGGCTTCTTGACTCCTCCGGTAGCAGGAGCACTCTTACGAGCAGCCTTGGTCGCCAGCTGCTTTCGGGGAGCCTTACCTCCAGTAGATTTGCGCGCAGTTTGCTTGGTTCGAGCCATGGTGGACGATGTTGTAGATGATAGATGCGATGATGGTCGGAACAACTTTTGTTGTTTCTGGTTTTATGAGATCACTCAGCGTGTTGCCTGTTCTTTGCAAGAGGCCGTTCCGGATTGATTGAATCATTCGATTCGAAGCGAAATGGCGGGCGATTTGAACTATGTGAGCGGCCAGCCAGTTTCGTCAATTTTATCCTTCATTCTATGCAACAAAATTCAATTCAAGCCGTTTTAAAATGAAAAATTAAAATTGACGGAAATTCAAATTTCAAAAGAATTATAGAATTTTTGAATGCTCTCTCGGCGTTAAGTCTCAATTTCAAACCGGTGGCGGGCTTGCGGAAACAGACGCGCTCGCACCGCTTCAAAACACAAAGCACAAATTCGACATCCCTTTCCTCTCACAAATCAGATCGGCAGCAGCTGAACAACGCAACCAAGTCTATCTTTAGCAAATCAACAAACATCAAGTCATCATGTCTGGCCGCGGAAAAGGAGGAAAGGGACTCGGAAAAGGAGGCGCTAAGCGTCATCGCAAGGTACGAACCAACCAACCACCAGCAACTCATACGGTACCGTAGTGCAAAAGAAAAAACCATACCAAGGGCTCACTCTTTGCTGAAATCGTTGTATGCAGGTGTTGCGTGACAATATCCAAGGTATTACCAAGCCCGCCATTCGCCGTCTTGCCCGTCGTGGTGGAGTGAAGCGTATCTCGGGTCTGATCTACGAGGAAACCAGAGGAGTGTTGAAGGTCTTTCTCGAAAATGTCATTCGTGATTCTGTGTAAGTGAAGCAGCAGCCAAGTGCCGTGAATGCAAGCCAATGACATCATTATCTACATGTACTTTATCTAACATCTCTGCCTCCTACAGGACCTACACGGAGCACGCTCGGCGCAAGACTGTGACAGCCATGGATGTTGTCTACGCCCTCAAGCGCCAGGGCAAGACCCTTTACGGATTTGGAGGTTAGATCTGATACCGGTATGACGCTTCCCACTTCCAGCCTCAACAAAACCAAAACAACAAACAAACAGGGAATTTTTATTCCCACCATCATTCCACAAAGCATCCAATGAAACGCCGCAGTATATACTTGTAGACACAAATAGCACGTAATATTCTAGAACAACATGCAACTTTCCCATCACAAATCCTCGTTGCGCTCTCCTTTGCTGGCTCATAATGCCTCCCTCTAGACTACCGGTAGCTAGTAGAATATCCCTTGCATCTTCATTTTGAAAATGAGTGCGGCACCCAGGAAGAGATTTCTGCCTTTTTAAAAAATCTGGCTGGGCTTTTTATTGCGGTTGCGGCATTGGAGTGGTGCCTGCAGTATCCACGATTGGATGTTGGGCATCATGGAAGTCCGTACCTGGTACACAGTATGGGTGGGGCTCAAATGACGTACTTTCGAGTGGCAGGCACCTATAGAAGGAGCAACACCATCCAGCAGCTGCCGTTTCTATTCTTTTGATGTTGCCGGGTGAGTGGTGGCCCCAAAGCATCTTGTTGAATAAATAATATCTATCGAACTTCTGAAGTACATCGTCATGAACTGGTCTCGCCATCTCTATTTACGGCTTGCAGTGTTGCTTGCGGTCACAGATCCAGTCAACGGGTTTCTTTCTACGCTACAAGAGCATCGGTATCCGTCTCGACCAACATTCTGCAGCCAGTCGAGAAGATGCCCTCGTTCTTCAAGGATAACGCTGGCAGATGGAAGCAATATCGAAATATCGCTTCCGTATCCCAATCCGGAACTCGATGCCATGGATGTGGTTCAGTTATGCATGGAAACTCTCATGAAAGACGACAACCACGGCCTCCTGGTCTGCTTTGATTTCAGTTCCGATTTCCTGCAAGCACCATTTGGTGGCCAGTTGGAAAAGTTTATTCAGCATGCCAACAATCCCATCTTTGCAAGTCTAGTCCAATGCACCAAGTACGACATTCTTTCCGTTGGACCCCTTATCAAAGGAACCAACACAAGAGGAGACATGCAGACCTGTCTCATGCAGGTTCACAGCGACAACACGGTTACAGCATCACGGCGATTCTTGTGGACACTGCAGAAAGAACGACGACCACCACGACAAAATTGCTGGCTCGTCCATGAAGTCTTGTCTGTCACGTACGCATTCCAGTTGACGGAATGATCAAAGCAGTATTATGAGCTATTTTATGTAGATGCTAGATGCTACATCCTTGTCCAAAGAAGCCATGAAACAACATAACAACCGCAACATTTTAGATTGCAGCTCTCCACAAGTCACACCAACATGGTTTCTTACCTATCTAGCTAGTGACATGTGGGATATGTCGGTATTTTCGTCTCCGTAACCCTCTGAGCATTACAAACTGTCTTACCATCACTCACGGAGGATTGGGAAAGCTACCACTCCCGAGCATTGGCCTTCTTGCTCGTTTCCTGCCGTATCACGTCCATTTTCTCTCTCAGCGTTTGTGCCTCCTGGAAAAAAGTACTGCCACTGGAGGAGAAAAGCACCTTCTTTGTCAGGTTGAACCATGGACTGTTGTAGTCTGTTGTATAAAACTTCCATGTCAGGATTGGTGATGACTTTTGAGACTTTCATTTTGGTGTTGAGCTCATCCTTGATGAAGCCAGATGTTTTCAAAACGGAGTCAAGAAATGTCTTGGCCTCCTCGGGAGTGTCAGCCCATCCAGACACCCCAAACTGTTGCCACAATCCCTCGCCTAAGTGTTCTAGCATAGCCTTGGCATCCTGGTAACCTGTATCAACATTTCCCACAAAGTTGATGTACTTCCAGTACTTGCTATGGACAAAGTGCTTCTCATGGTTAAATGCTCGTCGTTGGAGTACGTGAAGTCCCATCCTCCCCATGGCACTCATACGCTGCATCATGGGATCCCAATGTGTGCTCTTACACGTATGTATCCCTCTCAGGAACTCGGTAGAATTGGGTGCATCCACCAGGTCTTTTGTCCTCATGCCTTTGAGGCAAAACAGTCTTGGTATCACCGTGCAGCAAATGTGATGTATGACCGCTGGAGGACAGCAGTCATAGTGTAAGCCAGCGTGAAGCGTTCTTTTGGGTCTCGCACAAAGATGGCCCTGGTCCAGTTGGGATCCGTCATAATGTCGCTGGCCCTGGTCAAGTTGTAGTCTCATAGGAAGGTGAGGCCTTCATTGATTGCGTCATGATTCTTCTTTTCATATTTTTGTGTCTTCCAATCCTTCAAACCACTCATTCGGCGAAAGAGTTGTTTGAATTCATTCTCCGCCACATACGGATCGTAAAGAAGACCAGTTTTTACTTATCCAGTACAATCGAACGACGTTGGAGAGTTGTCGGCCACAGGGTAGTGGAAGTTCCCTTGGACGACGAGGTAGGGGCTCGATCGAATGAAGCTTGGCCAGTACCGACAATCTGCATACTAGTCAATGTGCAAGCATTGGACACAGGCATAAACCTTGCAATGCGATATTCATGTCGTCGTTTCAGCTTTGAATCGACGTATCTATGCCTTGCGCGATAGAGAGAATGAGACAAAGCCGTCGCTTAGATATCGTGCCCTACCATTCTTTAGTTTGAAGTCCGATTGCCATGCCATTGGTTACCAGCCATCCTCAACTTGGACTACAACCCTGCCATTTGTGCTACGATCTCACATTCGTGCCATTGCTTTTCAATCTCAATCACTGGGAATGTATAATCGATGTTCTCTGACAACCCATCCTCCAACCATGGTCCCAAGACCTCAAGATCTGCCTTTGGGTTTGTCAAGACATCTTTGGTCTGCAGATTGGCGGTAGTAGCAGCAGCTGCTATCGGTATGTCGTCCTTGGCGTCGGCTGGTTTGAAACCACATGCATCTTCCTGCACGACAATACATTTACATATTCCGCCAAACTGCCATGTTCCTGTTGACTATAGAGTACTGAAGATGCCTAAACACAGCGAGCGTCACCCACTTCCAATGCTGGACATTCAAGCCAGTTTTTCAATAGATCCACCATCCACAGAATACACGAGGCTCGGTGTATTTATGGACAAAGCTCCCTCTTGTTTTCTGAATGACAGACTGTATACCAAAGCGTAGAACATGACCTTGACAAGGACTTCACGTCCGTCTGGTTCAGGAGGTTCTGTTTCTGCCTTGGCATCGGTGGACTGGAATGTGCACGCAACTGCCTTCATGATGAGGGGTGGAATGAGGAGGGAGATGAAAGGTTCCAGCTTGAGTAATTGGCAACCTGCTGGTGAGCAAGTAGGAAAAGATGCGACCCAACGAGACGACTGGTCTCCCTCCGTTCAGCGCGTAGGTGCTGTAGAGGGAAGTTTGACCATGCCTCGAAGAGCTTCTTTCAAAACACGGCGTCAAAGTCGCCGTTGATTCTTCGGATGCCAACAAGAAGGTGGAAGTGCGCAATCTTCCTTCATTTCTCTGGCTGAGAAGAGGAACAATATCGTAATACTGCACCTATTGAGTTTGGATGTCCACAACGATCATGGCATTTTGACAGCTAAGTCAACATAATGTGCTATTGCGAAAGTTGCTAGCTGGGAAAAGCGATCTGCTATTGCGATAAACATGCCAGAGGGGGAAAGCAATGCATGGCTTCTAGTATTGAAATCCCATGCACCTCCTAAGGACACCACCCCAAAAGATTTGGAAATTCTTTAAAGAAGCTCCTAAGTACCCGGTATCAGTACCTCAAAACAAGACAGTTGGCAGATTCAGTTGGCAAGGCAAACCCCTGTCTCATCACAACAACTGGTACAGCAACCATCGGCACAATCGATGGCAGGAACTCCACTTTCTGTATTGGGCAAACAGTCTGCCACCAACAACACTTCTGAATACCTGTCTTTTTCAAGATACACGAAGTTTTGGCAGACAGATACCGGAACAGTTCCAGACAGCTTATTCCCATTGACCAGAACTTGCTTCAGTTTGGTCAATGTCTCAATTTCATTTGGAATGGTGTCATGGAAGTGGTTGTTTGCCAGGTTCAGTCGCGCAAGCTTTGTCAAACGACCAAGTGACGAGCTGATGGTCCCAGTAAAGTTGCACACATCCAAGTGCAACCATACGAGATTATTGAGTCCAGTGTAGAGTTCTTTGGGGAGGGTTCCTTGCATGTTGGTAGCATTCAGATTTATATGAATGAGCTCTTTTGCCAAGCCAATCTCTGAGAGGGCAAGGGCCCTGGAATGCTATTGCCACAAACATCAATATGGCTCAAATTTGCAAGTAGGCCCACTTCGGAGAGTATTGTATCCGTGATCTTTTGAGTTTAGAATGGCAACAAGCAGAAAATGTCAACTTTTGGCATAGCTAGCATGTGCATACATGCAAGAAATATGCACGCAAGAAATTGAGAATCACTTACCTGATTGTCTTCCACATGAATTAGCTTCAATGAACTCTGGTAGAATAGGTCCATTGGAAGTGACCCAATTAGCATATTTTTCCCCAAAGTCAACCACCTAAGAGAGAACAAACCCACTTCGGATGGAATTGTATCGGTTAACCTGTTTTCTGAGATCAGAAGTTGCCCAAGTTTACCATTTCCTTCATTAAGATTCACAAACAATTCTTCAGGGATTGTCCCAGAGAATGCATTTCCATCCAAGTCGAGATGTTCTATTGACAAGGCATATTCGCTCAAAAACAATCTTGGGGGAAGCACTCCTGCCAGCATGTTGTCATGCAGTTCTAATCGCTTCAGCGAAATTTCCCATGGAAGTGGACCATTGAGTTGGTTTTAAGCTAAAGATCCAATGAATGCAACTGTTAGGAATCGGTAGCGCATTCACAAGTCTGGCCAGTCCACACAAACAAACTTACCAAGGTTTAGTCCAACTACTGCCATCTCCTCTGGCTGGCCAATCACCGTGTACTCCAGCCCATTGGCATTCATGACTGGCAGAGAGCCACCTACCCCCCCATATGTTGGTTGTTATCTCACCTGAGACGTGATGAGGCACATAACAGAATCCAGATGTTTTACTTCTTTGGGGTGCTGGTGGTGGATTCCACTTTTTCCATAGCTGATCATTGGTGGTCTGATAGTAGAAGAGCACCAGCAGAAACCGCTGAACCAAATTGGGAGAATCATACTCCAACTGCATTGGGTCGTGATTGACAATCCAATCAAATACCTTCAGCCTATTTTCCAGCAAGAATGCAGCAAGGTCAATGCAATACACGGCTCTTAGCCTTATTCGCGACTCGATCCTAGATAGGGTTTGAGTTCGACTCATGACGTAGTCCTTCGCGAATAGTCATTGAGACAGGGTTCTCATGACTGCTAGTCATACTAGGTTGTCGATGAAACATCGCTCTAGACATTTAGCCGGCGTGAAAGCTTCCACGCTACTAGAGTCTAGCTGAAGTTTCCACGTGTTCCGAAATGGACCGTGAGTACGTAGAGTTATTGCATAACCTACGATATCACACTTCGAGGCCTCCCGCGGGTAGATGCAGTACTCATGATTAGTTCTATATAGATTCTAATACGTCTCTTCTCATGGTTATCCTCCCCTTCTTT